GGAAGTGCTTCATCAGCTAGAGCTCTGGGCTTTGCCTCGCTTAAGTCTAACCCGAAGATGTGCTTGAAATGGACCTTACCTGACACCCCAGCCATCTTCCAGAAAATAATGTGGACAGGGGAGAAAAAGTTGCAAAGTATTCTCCCCACCCTTTGGCAGCCTCTCTTAAGGCTTGGCTCCCTTGGAGCTCTTGGCTTTGTCTCTCTTCTAGCGCTAAATCCAAGGGTTAGATAAGAGTAGTCATAGGTTGGTGCCTATCCTGAGACCCCAACCTATGGCCCAGCAGAGGAAGTCATCTAGGGGATAGCATCTGTGGAGCCTTCCCCTACCTTATGTAGCTTTTAAACCCTTTTTCAACCTCTTTCAGCTGGAGCTGCTGGCTTTGTCTCTCTCCTGACCTTAAACATAAGTCTAGGCATGGGATGAGCTGTACCCTGAGATGCCTAGCATTGTCCCAGAGGAACGAACAAGGGTTCAGGCATGAGCTCTTTGCACAGCCTTCCCCATTATTGCTCCTCCCCCTTGCATCCCCACTGTACCTGGAGCTATGGGCTTCTTGTCTCCCCTAACCCTAACTCTAACTCTAGGCATGGGCCAAACCTTAGCCCTAGGCTTCCCAACATGGCCCAGAAGTAAGAATTTTAGAGAGAGAATTCTTTTTCCACCCTTCCAGGGGAGGCAGGTGTTGCTACAAAAATGGGGTATTGGCAAGTGTCTACCTGTGTCTTAAGCCAACCTGCCAACTATGCTGAGAAGGTCAACCTGCCCTTCCCTGTTTTGTGACAGGTGGATTAAAAACACAAGCTAAGACCTCCGGCCTACTCTTTACATGCAAAGTCCTTAGGTAAAAGAACAAACTGTAACAAAACAAAAATGTCTAAGCATGTTCCTGAATTAGAGTTGATTTATATCAGAATTTCTACTTGAGAGGATATTTTGATTGTCAGAACTATGCCTTTTGTTTCATGAGGTTGAAATGAGCAAATATTGGTATTTATAATGGCATCATATCATTATTGGGATAATAAAATGCGTTATTTCTAATCAAGAATCGCTAGTTTATCAAGTAGTTGAGGTTAGAAATATATGCTTTTGAATCATGAGCAACAGGCAATGGAACATTGATAAAGATCAGTAGCTAGAATTTCTCAGTAAATTAATACGTATAAACTGTGTTAGAGCAATTGGCCTAAGTGACTAGGCAGGCATTCAAACAATTCCTTTTTGGAAAATGGTATCGTTCTCTAGTGTTAGTATAAATTTCCGTAGCCAAAGGAATTTTCAATAAATGGAGTTACAGAAATCCTCAGGCCTTCTAAGTAGGCCATATAGCACATGGTACCTCATTATAATTATGACCGTGATGGCATTTTGTTTCTTCTGGGCATACACGTCAAGCAGGTATGTGTGTGATGTCTAATGAGGTTAGCACCTTTGCAGGAATTACAATATACTGGTAATTTATTTCAAATAATTGCAGTGCAAACACTATGCCCAAATCTATCTCAACAGAAGAGCTTTCACTGACCCTCTTGGGTGCGGGGCATCACCAAATGTTAGTATTGCAAAGTAATTAATTAGGACAGGCCAAAGCATAAATAAAATTTCTAAAATGCCTCCATGAGTGACTGTGTGTTTATATGTATGCAAATGAAATGGAGGGCAATGCAGGCAAGAACTGAAATTTTGTGGTGATGATGTTACTATTAATAGTTTCAAAACAAATCCTTTTTGCTCCCACATTCATAAGGAGCAATCTAAAAGCATTCACATTTCTAGTCATACTATTGTTAAATGCCGATTTATAACAATATCAAAGAAGGAAACCCCTCAATCAATGCTCCATAAGTAAATGCCCCTTAAAACAAATGCTCATGTAAACAAAAATTGGATTATATTTGATCTATAGGTTTTCAAACAGACTAAAGTGCTGCAATCAACCAGATGTTCTTGTTGATGGGTTTGCAGCTATTGACTTATGCTCTTTCTCATATCAGTGACTGAAAGCTGATTCATATTCTCCCAGAATATACATTTTAAAGAAAATAATTCTCCAGCTAAATTTACATAATTGTAGGGATTCGAGCGGTGTCAGATAGCACGCTGCAAGTAAAGATTTTGCACGTTGTAGTTAAATAGAAATCTTTTTTTTTTTTCACTGTATATTGGAAGCTTTGATGCTAACACATCAGAATATACAACCTCTAAAACCCCAAATGTAAAGATGAATTTGCTGACAGAAATTCGTATGACATGCCCAAGTGCTCTAACATCTAGCTAAAACACTCATATACAGCAATAGTCCTAAGAATGGTAAGATCATTTGCAACGGCTGCTCAATAAATGCATTTCTAAACTAGAACATAAATACAAAAAGTCCTCAAAAGTCACAAAGAGTGTCATCCAAACAGAATTTATGTGCAATTAGTAAAAACTGAATAGGGTTATTTTTGTATATCATTACATTTATGTGTTGGGGTGTATACATACTTCTATATGTAGTCACAATCTACTTTTTAGTCACAGAAGAAAAGGAAACAGCTTGCTTAAGGGTCATGTAAAAGTGTGCATGTGCTAGATGTAATACCTTTAAGAAGGTGTGAAAGAGCACATGGTGGTCACATTGGAGTGCCCAGGTGTATGTCAATTGAAGGTGATGATTGACATGAGGAAAATCATTCAAAGAGCGGT